GCCCGATGTGGGACTCGATCCCGGGACTCCAGGATCATGACCTGAGCCGAAGGCAGTCGCTTAACCAACTGAGCCACCCAGGCGCCCCGGAAAAATAAAATCTTAAAAAAAAAATAATAAACTGAATCATGCTTTAGGAATTCAGAATAGAGATTTCTGAGGTTATATGGGGTGATCAGAAACTGCAAGAGAGGCAGCTAGAAACTGGGCTTTTCACAGTTAGGACAAGACAGGTGGCGTAATTAAAGACCTTTGAGCAGGAAAGATACAGGATTCATATATATTTTGTTATATCCAAATTTCAGTGTGCTATGTCTGTGTCTCCTTATTTAAATTTTACTTTAAACTTGTTTTTCGTTACAAAATTTAAGTTGGTTGTTCTGTTGTTCCAGCTGTCATTATCAAATATAACCTCATTTTACTCTGTATTTCAATTAAAATTTCAAGGCCAGCTACTATTTCTTAGGGTTTTCCTTATTATTTCCTGCCTGTAACACTTGCCTTTCCCAATTTATTTTAGCTGTCACTCCCAACACCTCATTACCATTTTCCCCCACATATACATACCATCTGTAGACTCTGGGTTCCCAGAAAGTTTGTGGCCAACAGGTACATTCATTTTAATCTGTTCAGTGCAAAGAGATTCCCTTTTATAACATCTTTCCAATGTCTTCTAACAGGCGATCATCTAAGAATCGCCGCAAAGCAGAGCGGAAGAAGCATAGCCTCAAAGAAGGGAGTCCGCTGGAGGATCTGGCCCTTTTGGAGGCACTCAGTGAAGTTGTACAGAGCACTGAGAAATTGAAAGGTATATTCTCAATACTGATGATTCTTACCACAAAAAAAAAGTAAATGGATAGCACAGAGTTTAGCAAATAATTAAGATACAGTTTTCCCAACTTGAGGAAAGACAGAAACTTTCAGCAGGAAGTGTCATTTCAGGGCACGTTCCTGAACCTCCCTCAGCTGGGAACCTAGGAGCCTTCCTGCACTGGCCCCCACCCAGCCCTGCTGGGAGACATTATCATCAAAGCCAGGGAAAAGGATTATGAAGCCACTGCTTCCTACTTGGGCCCCAGTGTGTTCCTTTTTCTTTTTGTAGTAGATAGATTGAATTACTCCAGCATTTGGGGAGACAGAAGAAAATGCGGGACATGGCAACTGTAGGGTGATATTAAATATTTTTTTGCTTGGGAAAGAAACTGTGTTATGATCCTAGCAATGGAGCTGGGCACCCAAGTTAACCACTTTCTGAAATTTCTTCTCTCTAGATGAAGTATACCATATTTTAAAGGTGCTCTTTCTCTTTGAGTTTGATGAGCAAGGAAGGGAATTACAGAAGGCCTTTGAAGATACCCTCCAGCTGATGGAAAGGTCACTGCCAGAAATTTGGACTCTCACTCACCAGCAGAATTCAGCTACACCTGTAAGTTTTCCTCAGAGACAGAATGTGCGTTTTTTAAAAGTCATTTCACAGGTTCTTACGTTCACACGAACTCTTAAAAGTCAAAGCAAAAGATTTTCTTTTTGTTAAAAACATAATATTCCATAGTTACATTAGCCTAGGCTTATGTTTAAGCTGTCTGTAAGAAGATTTTCTATTTGAGTACACCTTGGACTAGGTTAAGTTTGCTTTTATTTCTCCTTTCCTCATGAAACAGCTGTCGTGAAGAAGATGGGCAAGTCAGACTGTTGCCCCTGCCTTCAGTGAGATTGGAGTGGGCAAGTGGGGAGCTAGGGCCAGAGTTGGCCTCTCACCTCCCTGTTCAGACGTTGAATGGTATCAGAGTGTTTTAAAGTAACCCAGACAGAGGCCTCTGGGTTGCTCAGTTGGTTAAGCATCTGACTCTTGATTTCGGCTCAGGTCATGATATCAGAGTCGTGGCATGGAGCCCTGCGTCGGGCTCTGCGCTCAGCAGAGTCTGCTTGAGATTCTCTGTCTCCATCTCCGTCTCCCTCTGCCCCTCCCTCCGCTTGCATGCTCTCTCTCTCTCTCTCTAAAATAAATAAAATCTTTAACAACAACAAAAAAAGTAACCCTTGTAGACAATTGCTTTCTCTTTTGTTTTATGGAAAATTTGACTTGTCACTTCTACTCTGTTGTTAGGAGGAGCTTTGCTGCTCATGTTTAAGGCAGTTGTGTCCTGTCAAGAATTCTGATGTGTTATCTGTTGTGTGTACTTTGCTCAGTCTCTCACACCTGAGGCCGATTGTTAAAGAGTTTCTGTTTTGATTCAGAAAGGCTGGTGTGTCAGGCACAGTCCATTAAGGAAAACAACCACAGCTGTTATTGTAACAGAATTTAATACAGGGAACTGGTTGAACAAGTATTGGAGAACTGAAAAGTAAAAGGGGAACACAGAGAAGGAACGCCGAGATAGTAACTATGAGGGAACAAAGGAAGAGTTTGGGTTTACTATATTTTAGAAGCTTGGGGCCCTGCTGAGCTGGTTCTTGACCCTCTGAGAAGGGGTGCCAGCCATCTGGTGGTGGTACTTCTGAGGGGGCATGATAGCTCTAAGGGTGGAGAAATAAGTAAACTGGAATGAACGGCTGCTCCCAGGGTAAAAAACTGTTGAGTGAAAGGAAGGAGCACATTCCTTTTCCTCCAGCCTTGCACTCTTCCTCTGATGTCTGCATAACGAGCCAGCTGACAAAGGCGGAATTTTTCTCAGGCTCCCAGTCCCAGCATCACAAGCACTGAGGAGAAGGGTGGGTTTGGAGCCTGGAGAGAGACTGGTATTGAGCTCACTGGTTAGAAACATAGCAGCTCTACTGGGGCCTCGATTTCCTCAGTTACAAATGGGGATATACTTCCCTGTACATTTCACTGGAATGTTCTGAAGGTTAGATAAGAGGGTAGTGATGTAGGTACATATAGCATACCTTAAAAATAAAAGTTGAGAATCAGCACCCCACAAATATTTGAATTTACTAAAATAGGTATTTCCTAGAAGAAATGTGATCATCTTCAAAACTGTAGTGGTTTTGAAGCTTAGCAAATTATAATACCTCCTCATGCTCTCCCCTACCCTCTTCTATTCAGATCATAGTAATTTTTAAAAAAATTTTTTTATATATTTTTTAATTTTTAATTTTTTTGATTTAATTTTTGCTTAATCTGGTTTCTGGGGTAGAACTTAGTGATTCGTCACTTACATAATTTACCCAGTGCTCATAACAACAAGTGTCCTCTTTAATCCCCATCCCCCATCTAGCCCATCCCCCACCCACCTCCCTCCATCAACCCTCAGTTTGTTCTCTATCATAAGAGTCTCATGGCTTGTTTCCCCTCTCCCTTTTTTTCTTTTCCACCTTCCCATATGTTTATCTGTTAAGAGTGAGATTGTACGGTATTTGTCTTTCTCTGACTTATTTCCCTTAGCATAATACGCTTTAGCTCTACCCATGTTATTGCAGATGGCAAGATTTCATTCTTTTTGATGGCTGAAGATCATATTAATTTCTGAGACACCAACTTTAAGAGTCTTCTGGGGGAAATGACCAGAAAATCATGTGTTTGCTTTGGTTGGTAAATTATGGTAATGGCACGTGTGCTGGATCCCGAGTCATATGGAAGTGCTTTGAGCGCACGTTGCTGCTGAGAAGGTGCCCCTGAGGGTATGCATGCTGAGCCAAGTGAAGACAAAGCAGAGGGCCTGGCATGTGCCCCCTGAGGCTTATACAAACGTGGAATTCCTGTGAAGGCTCTGGTTTTACCTTGAACACATGTGCACAGTTTGCGTTCTACACCATGATATATGCACGTATTTGTTTTAATATCAAAATTCCCACAGATCTTTTGAGGGCAAATTGATGCTCTGTGTATTCTATAACCTCTTGTACTCCTCCCCTCAGGGTATGGCTTATATTCCTTAAGATTTTCCTTTTTTGTTTTCCCCTCATCATTACCTTGTCTTCTGGAAGAAAGGAGATTTGGAGGTCTGAGTCAAGACTGGAAAAACTGGCGAAGTAAAAATCACAAAGGAAAAGAGAATTACTGTGCTTGATACCATGAAAATGACATGCTATTTACTGCTGGTAGAAACTTGGCCTCTGGTATCTGCGGTCACCCGAAGTATGAAGTAATCTTTGCTGATCTACTTTCTACTTAGGTTCTAGGTCCCAGTTCGACTGTAAATAGTATCATGGCCTCTTATCAACACCAGAAGACTTCAGTTCCTGTTCTTGGTTAGTATTTTTTTCTCTTCAAATTATCACAGTACTCAGCAGAAGGAATATCTTTCTCTAAGTGTTGAGAAGGTCAGTGGTGTGAGGAAAGATCAGGTATTGACTACAGTTTTCCCTCAGTTTTATGACTGTGTCTTTAATAAAATCGATTTAGTGCTTCTAGTGTTGGGAACCAGAGGGGTGGGGAATCCAACATGACATTAGACGTATACATTTTGAAAAGGTCACCTTGACATACGCCGTCCATACAGGCACATCACAGTTGGAGTTTGAGTCTAAACAGTCCAGCTTACTATATATTTTAAGGATTCTTCTGAATCATCATTTTTGGCTCTTGGCAGTTATGATTGCATCTTGGGGACATTTTCATAATCATCCTCAGGATTGACAATATAATTTGAAAGCAAATCCAAAGAATGTTGCATTTTATTTGCATTTCCTATTTAAGTTTACTGAAAATGTTTTGTTTTGTTTTATTTTTTGTTTGTTGGTGGGGGAGATGATTCCTGATTAGATTGCGTAGCCCTTAAAGTTCAAAACCCTAAAAACTTTCTTTTTAAATTTGGTTAGAAACTTTTGATAGATCAGTTTGGTGCCTGAGTATTTACCCTTTAGGTGGATCAATCAAGCATAGCAGCCTCTTAGCTTTCAAAAGTTAGTGGTATGTTCTAAAATAATTGGGAGTTTTTACTACTGTAATTTGCATTTTCCAGAATTTTTTTCCCCTTAAATGCTGTGCTGTACTAGCATTCTGATGACATTTGAAGTAGCCTTTGGGTTTACATTAAGTTTGAAGTTTAACAGCTTATGTTGCTACCAGGAATAAATGAACTACTTCCCATCCAGGTTACCTCTTGTACCTGGACAGTAACTATTGTATTCCTAGCTACCCTTCTTCCTGAAGGCTGACAAGCTGCTTTTGCTATCGGTCCCAACATATACTTATTTCTGAGATGCTAAAAATTCATCTTAGACCTGAGGCAGCTTGGTCATTGCTCAGTTTGTACCCTGGGCAATTCTGTTGTGATTTCCGCCCCATATTCTGCCCTATTGGCCTGATGCTGACCTTCATGTCAAGTCTAGTCACATTTTTCCCTAGAGTATCCTGGTGGCTTTATCGAAGAGTGCTTTCATTTTCCAGCTGAGCCTTAAAGACAGTATTTTGAGGCTCCTCATTATCTGAGTACATAAGTGTTACCAGTGTCCTTGTGGTTACAAGATGGCGTAGGAAAAGAGAGGTTCTCATAATCTAAAAATAGGCAGATGAACTACTGACAACGTCCCAAGCACTATTCCTCAACTGCTCCTCCCCAAGTAAGGGGAGTAGTTAAGCATACTCACACAGCCCTGCGAGTGGAATCCATGACTTGATTGATAGCCATTCTCTCTGTTTCATGTTTGCAATGCAGTATCATGCAGATCAGTTGTAAGTCTTGCAAAAATGTAGGGTTTCATAAAATGGATTAAAGTATTATCAGAGAAGTGCTTGAATCATCATAGCTGAGTTGGGCTTGTTACAATTGATAACAAAGTAAATGCTTCAAATGGGAATGATTTTGGCTATCAAAAGATTAAGAAAAGTCCTTGAAAAAATGGATAAGACCTTCAAAGTGTTTTTGCAAAAATAACTCTTATACTGTGAAATTCAGACATGGAAAGGTGAAGGATGTCATGCCTTGTCATACAGTTTGTCAACACAGTTACTTTCCTGCTAAAAGGCTCATGTGTGTGTGTATATATGTGTGTGTGTGTGTGTGTGTGTGTGTGTGTGTGTGTATGGATCATATATATAGATATACTTTGTTGGAAGTGTATTACAAATAATGCTGAGAAAAAACATTTTTATATACACGTATTTTCTCATGTCTTTACTACCTATATACATCTCTGCTACCACAAATCTGATTGAAAGAGGGCTCAGGTGGAGCTGTGTGTCTCCATCTCGGGGTTGTGGGTTTGAGCCCCATGTTGGGAGAAGAGATTGTTTAAAAACAAAATCTTTAAAAAAAAGTAAAGAAAGAGGGTCTGGGAGTTTTATTTAATAGTGACAGTTTTACCCCATCCATCCTCTCCTCCATTTGCTTTTTTCTAAAAGTAGGGACATTTTTATTGATCATTGTGTTTGTAGAATTTTTTTAATCATGGAAGTATTTTCTCGTCATTAACTCTGTTTACCAAATAACATACCACCACATTTTTTTCTCTTAAAATTGAGGAAAATTTTGTGGATAATGAAATGTACAGATCTTAGGTGTACAGTTTGGTGAGATTTAATAATTACATATGGCCTTGTAACCACCACATCCCCTCCCATTCGAAATCTAGAACATTCTTCTACTTTGAATCACTCAGTGGGCATTTTTTTTTCTACCCTTCAGGTGCCTGAAGTGGAAATCCCTGTTCTTGGGGCAGGGCCTCCAGGCTGTGTTTGCTCTGACTGGAGGTTGCGAGGGTAACAGGAACTTTAGCTCTCGACTGATGGTTATCTTGTAGCTGCAAAGTCCAGTCCCTAGTTTTAGCGCAGTTACTGCCTCAGCTTCCCCTAGCAAGAAAGTGTGTCTGTCACAGTTTTCCTTTCCTCTCTTCTAGATGCTGAGCTTTTTATACCCCCAAAGATCAACAAAAAGACCCAGTGGAAACTGAGCCTTCTAGAGTGACTGACGGTTTTCCTTTCACTCTCTCCTTGGGGCCTGGCTGTCGGGAACTGGGAAGAGTAAGACAATGAACTACCTTAGCAGTGTGGAGAGCTGCTCTATACAGCAGACCTAAGCAGACACCAAGCAGTTCTGCCTTATTTGGGGTATAATTTTAATTAGCAAAAGGTTAAGCTTTAACCAGTATTGCATCATTTTGTAAGAATTACTGTTCTTTGTTTAGTGCTGTTTGAGAGCATGTTTCTGGTATTTATCATAATCAGAAGATTGGCTTTCATTCCCGGCTGCCAGTCTGATTCATTTTGGGACCTTCGACAAGTCACGTAATTAATCGATTTGTGCCTCAGTTAATTGGGAATAATGTTTCATGGCTTCTACCTCAAAAGTGTGAGGAAAAGAAAATAATGTTTTTTAAATATTTTATGTTCCGGCAGGAGAGCATTATATATAAACAATGTTGGCTATTTGTGCTACCAACAATTGGTGAAATTTAATCACTTAAATGACTTCTTCACCTTGAACTAAAGCAGAATAAAAAGCTAAATATATCCTTTGAAATTCTAAGCTTTCCTTTGCTGACAGCTATTATTTTATAATATCTTACCAGGTCCTCTGCTTCCAGTTATAACGGCATTGAGCTCCTATCACTAGTGTCCATAGGGACTATTTTTACTGCCTGTGAATTTTCTGCTAGGGATTTAGCAGTGTTAGAGCTGGAACGGATTAGAATTTCTGAAACAGTATCGTGCACATTTGGTATGGTGAACAGTGTGCACAATTGTAAGTTATTCCTTTTTTCTCCAAGTAATTGCTGCTTTTAACTAAAAGGTTTTTGTCAGTGTCAAGGCCATTTCATTTATTTTTCTTTATGGTGCTTCACTGACTTCTGTCTTTTAGTTATTTTCTCTGGAAAAAATGAGAATGTTTTCTCTTTTTGGTGAGTCTAGAAAAAGCTCAATTCATTTTGACAACAGTTATGTGGCTGATTCTTGGGTAAGGTTGAAAATTTCTTCCATGCCTCTAATACCAGAACCAGACGTTCATGACTGTACATAAACGAAAATACTGCCTCTGATCCGTGGAGTATAGATATGCCCAGAATTGTAATTAAATTTGTTCCCTAAATAGCAAAATGTTAACTATAGAATCTAGGTGTGTTTGCTTGTATAATTAAGCTTCTCTGCGTGTCTGAAAATTTTTACAAAATAGTAGGAAAAAAAAAGAAGGTATTTCCTGCCTTGTAGAAATCTACTTTTTGATTTATACCCGTGATGGATTTGCTATAATTAAGTGCCCCACACTGACAGGCTGAATGTGCTTTGTGACTACGCTTTGGCCTGGGTAAATGAACATACGGCATTTTAATATATTATAGTGCTCTTGCTGTGGATAATGTTACCCATGCCTGATGGATTGGAAATAGAAGTAAATGTGTCTGTTGATACTCGTGTGACTTTTCATAGATGTTCCATTTCCTTGAGATGATGTTACTGTCAATTACTATCTATTTCCTGTGAGCAAGATGGAATTTTGTTCATTTGGAGAAGGAGCAGGCTGGAGCAGACCTTCCAGGCTGAAGGCAAAGTCACAGAAGAATTCATGGGGAAAGTGCAGTGTATGGGAAGAGGAGAAACTTCTGGAAGTGATGAATACTTAATTTTGGCGAAAGGCTTGGTCAGGGTCCTGGAAAAGAATATGTAACTCTTCCACCAGATTTGAACTCTGTCCCAAAGCAAGTTCATACTGCAGTAAGCTAAAAACCCCAGTTATTTTGTTGGTGCCATTGAGTCAGCTTTGCTCAGATGCTCCAGACATCAAGAGGGAACTTGCAGAGGACTGTCTCCTACAATCCGTTTTAAATTTACACTTTAAAAAAAAACTGAGGCAGGAGGTAATGTTTTTGTTACGTTTTTATGAGTGTAGCTTGGTGTAATTTTTTAGTACTGCCACGTATTTTAAAATAAATTCATTTTCCATACATGTCTACATATATATACACACACGTGTGTAGACACACAGGTTTACTTTTCAGGGGTTGTTCATAGCCATAATTGAAGAAGATGTTTTCAAAAGTAAATACAACTAATGATTCTTAGTAATTTAAGGTTACTACAAGTTGGGGAAACAAAATCAGCTTTTTTCTGCTTCCTGTGCCTCCCCATAAACTTGTGCTTCTCTAGAAGCACCACCTGAGCAAGCCCTTAAGAGTTTCTGGCTATTGTTTCTTGTCTGTTGTATTTATTAGTAACTGAGGTGAGGAGAATAAACATCTAAGAAGCTAGGTAACCATTAATATCCAAGAAGCTATAGACAAGTCAAAGCTAATATGGTGACATTTGGGGACACTGAATTGATTCTTGTGTCCTCTGTGATCCCTAAGCCCTTGCCTGTGCCTCACGCCCACATTAATCTTACTGGCTCTGAAGTCCCAAGGATTTTAAGACCAACAGATATTCTCTTAGTATACAGGAAAGAACAAGGCCATGGGTCCACCCATCTTAGTGTCCTTGGACAGAGACTTTTTCTTTTAAGATTTTATTTATTTGAGAGAGAGAGTGAGCACGAGTGGGGGAAGGGGCAGAGGGAGAGGGAGAAGCAGATTCCCCGCTGAGCTGGGAGCCTGATGTGGGGCTCGATCCCTGGACCCTGGGATCATGACCTGAGCTGAAGGCAGACGCTTAACCCACTAAGCCACCCAGGCACACCTGGACAGACACATTTAATCTCACTGAATCTTGCTTTCCTCCAGCCTTGTGTACCCATAAGCACCATTGTGTACCTTAGCACTATTGACATTTTGGGTCCTATCGATAATTCTTTGTTGTAGAGAGCTACCCTGTGTATTGTAGGATGTTTAGCAATATCTCTGGCCTCTACCCACCAGATGCCAGCACTATATATCTCCCACTCCTGTTCTGAGAACCAAAAACATTTTTAGACATTGTCAAGTGTCTCGTGGGGGGTCAAAATTGCCCCCTAGGCTAGGATGACTTTCATGCACTTACTAAAACTATTCATCTCTTTCTTTCTCTCTTTCGTGAAGTTGACTTTTTATCCTACAAGGGGAATTGTGTAAGGATCAAGTGAGAATTCATGGAAGTGGGTTTTTTTTAAAGATTTATTTTAGAGCACACAGGGAGAGGGAGAGGAAGAGAGAAACTCCAGCAGACTTCACGCTAAGTGTGGAGCCCAACATGAGGCCCAGTCTTACAAGCCTAAGATCATGATCTGAGCAAGAGTCAGACACCTGACTGTGCCACCCAGGTGCTCCCATAAAAGTGTTTTGAAAAAGATATGTGGTTGTTTAGCTTTATATTGGTATTTTTTTTCTTTTCTTTCCTTTTTTTTTTTTTGTTTTTTTTTAGTTTTTTCATTTTAAAGTGCAGCAGAACATTTAGATCTCCCGTGGCCTGGAGATTTCCCTCCAGAGCCACCTCCCAGGCTTCCCCTTCATCAAGACTCACCTTTTTTGGGGATCCTTGACTTGGGGTTCATAGATACTTAAGGGATTTAAAGATAGTCTGTTTCTGTATGATTGGCTTTCTCTGTAATTCTATGTATTTTATTTTATGCATTTTAACGTATTGTTCTGAGGAGGGGTCCAAAGGCTTTAGCACCCTGCCAGTGAGATCCAAAGGTTAGGAATTAATCAAATTTTAACCCGCCCAACAGTGAATGTTCATGGACTGTTGGACAGAAACTGAGGTGAATAAGACCTTATACCTCCCTCTCAAGTCAATGTACCCAACTGCTGGGTGATCCTCTGATACTTCAGAGTAAGGTTTAGTCATCCTTGCTTAACTATAGGAACTTCAGAAGCCCTTCTGTGTGGGTCTTTACTTCTCTATTCTGGCTTGCTGGTGCCAGTCAGCCATGCTTACCGGGCCTGGATCCAGGGTTGGGCATTTAGGTCTTTCGAGGCAGTTTAGGCAAACCTGGATACTATGAAGATGGCTCTGTAGGGCTTCTCCTGGGGATGGTAGAGATGCCATTACCTCTCCTGTGAGTGCTTGAATGCCTGCCTTTAGGTGTACATGTGACTAAGAACCATGGTGAGGGACGCCTGGGTGGTGTAGTTGGTTAAGCATCCCACTCTTGGTTTCGGCTCGGGTTGTGATCTCAGGGTCGTGAGATCAAGCCCTGCTTGAGACTCTCCCTCCCCCTTGACCCCTCCCCCGCCTCCTATGCTCTCTCTTTCTCTAAAATAAATCTTAAAAAAAAAAAGACTTTGGGGCTCCTGTATAAAATAAGTCTACAAGATAATTCTAGCTAGCTCTTGTGATCACCTCCCAGAGGCCAGATACTAATATTTCATTGTTTATCTCTGTTTTTTACATCAGCTATGTGAAGTAGGCCTTTGAATTCAATTTTATAGGTAAGTAGACTCAGGCTGTACAGTTAGGTGGTAGTGAAATAGGGTTCCAAATCAGAGTTCAAAGCCCATTTCTTTCCACTGTTTGATGCTGCTCCCTGCCAATGTTCAGGTGCCGAGGTTTAGAGACAGGGCAGAGAATGTATTGGGGACTAAAAAAATCTGTGTTCCATTTACAAAACTGGCCCTGTAAGACTACCTCCAGAACATGCTGGGCCCTGGAAGGGCTTCTCTGATCTTGAGGGACTGAGTGTTCCTTCTGGCTCCTCAGTTGGGTTAGAATGATCAGCATAGGGCAGGTTCCTGCAAACCATTAGCCCCAGAACTGGCAGCCTCTATCCTGTGCCCATCCCAAATTCCAGCCATATATCCTACAGGTTGATGGGGAATCCAGTCTAGTGGGTGATGAGCCGCTGAAGAGTTGCCCCCTCAGACCCACACATACACCTTGCTCATTACATGCCAGGTTTCAACAGCCAGTCACCATGATGGCTTGATAAAAGAGCTGGCATTGAGACATAAGTTCCTGTTGGAACTAAAAGAAAGTACAGTTTAAGCAGGGATCAGACAGCTTCGTCAGCTCTTTACAAGCCTTCCTGAAGCATGAAATGTACTCCACTGCTTTGTGGGAGACTGAACCATTATAGCAGACTTCCTGTTGTTGGTCAAAAGGAATGTTCTATATGCCCTAACAGCACTGACTCTGTAATCCGTCTTCCTCACGCTCCCCTTCTGAGCAGATTTAACAGTGCGATAGTTCCTAAAACGGGGAATACAAAAAAGGGACAGAATAACTTTAGAGCTAGTTTTCCCCAAGAATGTGTAAGCAAGCAACATGTAATACATGCCTTTGTTGTTTCACGCACCCCCCGACTTTTGTTTGGCACATGCTGCATATATGAACTTGCTCTTATTAAGTCAGGAAATAGAGAAACACACTGTGGAGGGAACACGAGGATTGTTTAATACTACAGGAGCAAACTTGTGGACTCAGCTCCCTATGTGTCAGGTGGGTGCTCACCCAGCAAAGCTGCCGCATGGCAACCATGCTTGGTCAGAGTTCAGAAGCACCTTCTGTAGAGGAAGAAAGGCCCGTGCTCCTCGTACTCAAAGCGGTGGACCCACAGGGGCTGGAAGCCCTGAAGCGATGCCAGGATGGAGCCACCTGTCCACACTGCAGTGTCCCTTTCGGGCAGCACGTTTACCTGCGGGTTGTCATTGGGACACATGGTGCTCAGCTCCTTCTGCATCCGGTTAGGGAAACCACTGAGCATAGTGCTCCCCCCGCAGAGCAGGATGTTCCCCATGAGATCCCGTTTGAGGGCAATGTCACACTTGTGAAGGCAGGACATGGTCTGAGTGTGGAGCCCCAGCTGCATGGACTTGATCAGAGAAGGCTTAAAGAACATCTCCGAGCAGAGGAACCTTTCCTGGCACAGGTTTATCTCCTGCCCATCAGGCAGAGTGTACTGGATTGTATGCTCAGTGGCTGGGACTTTCTTCTCTTCGATGGGGTCCAGGGCCACAAAGCAGCATTTCTTCTTGATGTCCTCCACAATGCCTATCTGGTCCTCGGTGAAGTGTTTCCCCAGATTATTCATCAGGCCCATCAAATAGGCTGTCAGGTCAGAGCCCGCATAGTCCAGGCGTCCGGTGATGCTGGGCAAAGGATAACCCTCATAGATGGGGACCACGTAGGACACGCCGTGGCCGACCTCCACCACCAGGCCAGAGGTCCTCCCGTAGGAGTACATGGACAGGCGGGATTGGTAGGCGATGTGCATTGCAGGAGTGCTGAAGGTTTCAAACAGCATTTCAGCGTACTTCTCTCTGTTGGTGTGCGGGCTCAGGGGTGGGTCTGAAACCAAGACTGCGTGCTCCTCTGGGGCGATCTTCATCTCTTGATGGAAGAGATATTCCCAGATATCCTGCACTGTGTCCCAGTCCACGATGATGCCATGTCGCAGAGGATTAATTAGCTTGAGACGAACCGCTGGGTTAATGAGCTCCTGCCCCACGAATGTCTCCTTGCGATTGTCCCCGGTTTTGGCCGTCTCCATGTAGGGCTTGCCCACCGTTGATGAGATGGTATGGGTGGGTTTCGGCAGCCCGGCAAAGCCACATTTGCAGGAGCCAGTGCCGAGGTCCACGACCACTGCTTTGGTTACCTCTTGCTTGGGTTTCTTCTTGACCATCGTTGATTTAGTAGGTTCTTCTGGCTCTGAACGGTTAAAGCGGACCCACACTGCCCGCTTCGCTGGTCCATCTTTTAAGGAGGCAGTCTGGAGGACATGTGTCTGTAGGGGGGCCTGTTCACCCACTTTCTTGGCAGGCCCATCCCTGATGATTGATGCCTGGGGAGCCCACATGCTTTCAAGAGCCATTTTGCTCTCAGAAAGTTCCTCGATCCCACCGGCTTCAAGGCCTGAAAGGCTTATTTCAGAGGGCAACTTGAGAATTTCTCCAACTATGACATCACTGATTGTGACATAATCTGGTGACCCGGGGCTTTCCAGATACTGGGAACCTGTGTCCCATGTTAGGGTGGATTTGGGGTAGTGTTTTGGAAGTCACTTAACCTTCTTCTAGATTTTGTAATAAACGTG